TCATTCAATGATACCTAGTTTGCAAACCACAATCCAAAGTAAAATGCTCTGTCTATACCATAAATATTTATAATTCATAGATTTATATTAATCTAGGCTCTCCAAAAATAAATAGCAGTGAAATATATGCTGCAGTATTTTGCTGTATTGTGAGACAGCTTTCTACATGCTGTAGTGTTTCCTGTTAGTGGCAATTTGTACTGTAGCAATATGGCAAAACACCAAGGATGATAAAGAGAAGGGAAATGGAAGTTTGAGAAAGGAGGATGCAAGGATGAGAACAAGATGAAAGTAAGAAAAAGGTGGGATGGAGTTGGTTCTCTTTTCTGCAAACCAAGATTTCAAGTCACAATTTAATCTTGGGTTGCCATGAAAGCAGTGAGTTTTCAATTTGTGTATAAGGGGAACAGGGAGGAAGCCTGATGCAACATACAAATCTAGGATCCCCCAAACTAACTTGTTATTACATCTGATACTAAACTAATGCTTGAAAATAATGCTGCTGTTGTTTAATTCTCTTCAGCTAGAAGATGAAATCTCAACTTTACGACAAGTGTTAGTAGCCAAAGAGAAGCATCTTGTGGAAATAAAACAAAAACTTGGTATCAACTTGATGAATGAACTGAAACAGAACTTTAGCAAAAGCTGGCATGATGTGCAAACCACCACTGCGTGAGTACAAACTACCCACACAATCGTTCTTTACTTTTGTGTAGCACTAAGTGTTTCTTTCACAAATCTTTAGAAATTTAGTGGGGTTCAGTGGTTTGACTGCTAAACACATATAACAAAAAACATAAAGTGAGTTTTAATTGATTTATATTCACATGTGAATTATCTCAGAATGAGTGAGTTATATTAAAATCAAAAGATAAGGAACTACTAACAGCCATCAGTGAGCTTCATGGTTCAACAGCTCTCGGAATCAATTCTCCCATTACTACTGGCTACTAGTATGGTATGGCCGAGATTGGGGGGGCAAGGCGGGCGACAGAAGGCCGATGCCTCCGTCGCCCGGCCCTCTACAGAATCCACCCCCCAAACCTCCAGGTATTTCCCTCCTTAGAGCTGGCAACCCTACATTCCCCTCAGTGCCTGTTGGTAGGCAACTAAGCTTGGTCCTGTCACCTACTTTGGCCTTTGGGAGAAAACACATTGGGGCCAATCCTGATAGGGTTGCCAACTCCAGATGGGAAATTCCTGGAGATTTGAGGGATGGAGCCTGAAGAGGGTGAGGTTTGAGGAGGGGTGGGACCTCAGACAGGTACACTGCCATAGACTCCACCCTCCAAACCAGTCAGTCTCACATAGGGAACCATTGTTGCCAATCTCCAGGTGAGGGCTGGAGAGCACTCAGTATTACAACTGCTCTGCAGAAGGGAGGGCAGAAGTCAGCTGAAGTCAAAGGGGCAGATAATGGTAGGTTGGTGGCTAGCTGGGAAGGAGATGGGGTTGCCAACTACATGCTGACAAATTCCTGGGGATTTGAGGGGTGGAGCCTGGAGAGGGTGGGGTTTGCAGAGGGGTGGGACCTCAGACAGGTAGAATGCCATAGACTCCACCCTCCAAACCAGCCATTTTGTCCTGGGTAACAATTGCTGCCAATCTCCAGGTGAGGGCTACAGATTACTCACAATTACAACTGCTCTTCAGGTAGCAGAGATCAGTTCCTCTGGAGAAAACAGTGGACTCTGTCATTATACCCTGCTGAGGTCACCACAGCAAATTGACACTGTTTGCCCAAAGCCAGAGCACTGCCCCAGAGCCTCTTTCTAGATCTCATTGTATTGCTTTCACAACGGGCTTTACTGCTAGTATAATAGTAAAACACACAGTATGGACAGTTCAGACTGGCAGTTCGGCCGGACAGCCAAACGTTTCAGGAGCGTTTCACTAGCAAATTAAAGGGGCGGGTTCACACAGGCACAGCTGTCCAGCTTCCCCCAGCCGTACTCAAGCCGTCTTGTGGTAGCAAACCGTGTGGAGAGCAGGTTGATTCCGGTTCCCTGACATGTGAACGCAAGCGCTGTAAGACGGGAACAACCCACAGTCATTGATAATAGGTGCTGGCTGTTTCCGTGGCAGGCACCCATGCGCATAGGTGCATGCAGCGGAGCGCGGAAAACGCCGCTAACAGCCCGCCAGGGGCAGGCCGACAGTGCAAACGCTCCCTTGCGCTTCCTCCATGGTATCCTCCCGCTTCATTCGCTGCAGTGTGAACGGGAATACCACGAACAAGCCATTCCGGGTCTGTTCCGGGTCTTCTTTGCCATGACTCCCTAGTGCTTCAAATTGCCAGTCTGAACTTGGCAATGTGTGAACTCAAAGAAACTAACTGTGCATGGCGTCAGCACTAATTTCAAAAATCAATAAATAAGGCCTTCACAACATTTGATATTCTCTCTCTGAAAATGATATTTTGAATTGAATATGCTGAGACTGTTGCAAATTGAATAAATGGTTTATTTGTTAGTAGATAAATGAATTATTTGTTAATTATTATTATTTATTGATTTTTTAAATTAGTCTTGGTGCCACGCACAGTTCATTTCTTAGTCTGTCAAGTAAGGCAGTCGATACACTTCTCTGCATTGCAGTTAAGTAATAGGAATTACAGCCCACAAACAAAGCAACATTACATCTGTGGCCTGTTAAACTCCAGCAAGATTAAAAGCTCCTTAGTCCTTAGCGTATCACGTATCCCTGGAAGGCCAGAGACTGAAGCTGAAGCTCAAATACTTTGGCCACCAAATGAGAAGGGAGCACTCCCTGGAGAAGACCCTGATGCTGGGAAAGATTGAAGGTCAAAGAAGACGGGGACGGCAAAGGATGAGATGGTTAGATGGTGTCATAGATGCAACGAACATGAAATTGAGCAAACTTCAGAGGATGGTGGAAGACAGGAGGGCCTGGCGGGAGCTGGTCCATGGGGTCGCGAAGAGTCGGACTCGACTGTGCGACTGAACAACAACAAGTCCAGATCCACCAGTGGGGGCTAATATATTGGGAAGGGAGGAAGAAAGTGACTTGGTATGCTGATAGACTCTGGTGGGTAGCCGTGTTGGTCTGAAGCAACAGAGCAAAGTTTGAGTCCAGGGCGGTGTTCCCTCTAAGCTGAGTTAGTGTGAGCTAGCTCACCGTTTTTAAGCCTCCGGCTCACACATTTTTGTCTTTGCTCAGGAAGGAGGGCCCCAGAGCAAACTAATTGATGCAGTAGCCAGATCCCTCACTCACAACTTTTATGCCAGTCGCTCACTAAGGAGAATTTTTGCTCACAAGACTCCAGAGCTTAGAGGGAACGTTGGTCCAGGGGCACCTTTAAAACCAACACAGTTTAATCCTGGGTGTGTGCACACAAAAGCTTATACCCAGAATTCAACTTTGTTGGTCTTAAAGGTGCCTCTGGACTCAAACTTTGCTCTATTGTATTCTGAGAGATTGTAAACCACTTTGAAGACCCTGTAGTGCTGAAAGGCAAGATATAAATAAATACAAACCTGCCGCTACTCTGTCACATGTGTCACATTTTTAAAAAATCCGACCCTTCCTCCAAAGAGCTGAGGCCAGTTTACCCTCCTCGATTTTATCTTCTCAACAACCCTGTCAAGGAGGATCGGCTGAGAGAGTGACAGAGCCAAGGGTGCCCAGCAAGCTTTCATGGCCCAGTGGGGATTTGACATTCCCTAATTTTAATCTGACACTTTGACCATGGCACCAGAACCCAAGAAGGTGGTGCTGCCCCCCCCCCTCCAAAAGAGGCTCTGTGCCTTGAACAGTCTGACAGGCAGGCAAAATCCAACCTGTAAAGCAGGGGTGTCAAATATATGGCCTGTGGGCCGGAACCAGCCCATCCTGGTCTCTTACCCAGCCCGCGAGCAACTGGTCCTTACCTTAATTGCCAGATGATCAAGGCTGTGCATTGTGTCCCTGCATACTGTCCTGGAGCTAATGAGTATGCTGGGGATTATTAGGAAGGGAATTGAAAACAAATCAGCCAGTATCATAATGCCCCTGTATAAATCAATGGTGCAACCTCATTTGGAGTGCTGTGCCCTGAAAGAGCTCTCCCAGAACTGGTCACCACACCTCAAAAAGGATATTATTGCATTGGAAAAAGTGCAGAAAAGGGCAACTAGAATGATAAAAGGGTTGGAACACTTTCCTTATGAAGAAAGGTTAAAACGCTTGGGGCTCTTTAGCTTGGAGAAATGACGGCTGAGGGGTGACATGATTGAGGTTTATAAGATTATTCATGGGATGGAGCAGGTAGAGAAAGAAGTCCTTTTCTCCCTTTCTCACAATACAAGAACTCATGGGCACTCAATGAAATTGCTGAGCAGTCGGGTTAGAACAGATAAAAGGAAGTACTTCTTCACCTAAAGAGTGATTAACACATGGAATTCACTGCCACATGGAGGTGGTGGCAGCTACAAGCATGGACGGCTTCAAGAGGGAATTAGATAAGCATATGGACTGCTCAGAAATTTCATGGAGTTCTTGTATTGTGAGAAAGGGAGAAAAGGACTTCTTTCTCTACCTGCTCCATCCCATGAATAATCTTATAAACCTCAATCATGTCACCCCTCAGCCACCTTTTCTCCAAGCTAAAGAGCCCCACGCGCTTTAACCTCCAGGTTAGATCTCCAGGTGCCGCCAGGAGGTTGGCAACCCAAAGAGCCACTTGGGCCGGTTTTGCAGACCAAGAAGCCTGGCCCATGCCCCTCACAGAGGAAGCCTGACAGCAGGTTTTTGTGTCTTGATCTTTTGGTGTAGTGCTTAAAGTGCACGGACTCTAATCTGGGAGAACCGGGTTTGATTCCCCACTCCTCCACTTGCACCTGGCTGGATGACCTTGGGCAAGCTGTAGCTCTGATAAGAGCTGTTCTCGAAAAAGCAGTTTCTGTCAGAGCTCTCTCAGCTCCACCTACCTCACAGGGTGTCTGTTGTGGGGAGGGGGAGGGGAAGGAGTTTGCAAGCCGCTCTGAGACTCCCTTGGGTAGTGAAGGGCGGGGTATAAATCCAATCTCTTCTTCTTCCAGAGGTCACAACGGAGTCCGTTCCTGCATAAACTCCCTAAGCTCAGACGTAAGTCTCCGCCTTGGCCCTGGATCCTTACCGCCGGGAAGAGTCATCCAACGTCCGCTGCCCTGGCAAGAGGCCTTGGCAGCGATCCAAGGAGGGATCCTCGCATATGAGCAGACGTGGGCTGCTTGTGGCTCAGCTTTCACTGGGCCAGAGCCCTCGCGTGCACACCTCCCTGTTCTTCGCTCGGCCCTGGGGCCCGGCGGTGGTTGCTTAAAGTGGAAGCAGATGGGCTGGCCCCACGCCCAGGGCACCGACTTGCAAACATGGACACGCTGTCCGACAGATGCACCTCCCCATCCCGTGTTTAGTTGGCATTTGGTGTTCAGCCGCCTCCAGAGCCGGGGGTGGGGAAACCTCTGCGCTGCCCCAGAAGAACCGCCCTCAAAGCCAGGCCAGAACCCAGGGGCTCATAATCGGGAGTATCGAAGCATCTCGGTGTGGAGGTTGAGTGAGGATCCAGCCAGCTGTTTTGGATTCGGAACGGGAGGCGTTTTCTATGTTTCGGCCTTTGGCTGTCACGCTGCCTGTGTGTGCCATAAGCAGGCCCTGCCCCGCACCGTCTCCTTTCTCCCTTCCTTTCTAGCTGGGCCCAGGGTGGGAAACGTGGCTTGCATCCAAAGTGAATGGGAGCCACCAAACCCGTGTTGGCAAGAAAAAGCTCCCACTTTTTTAAAATTGTATTTTTTTTTACATTATCACCTCCCCCTGCCCCACGCTCATTATGGCGTTTTACAGAACAGAACTTAACAGACCCAGGCCGATGCTCCCTCTAAGCGGTGGAGTCTTGTGAGCAGAAATTCTACTTGGTGAGCGACTGGCACGAAAGTTGTGAGCCGGCGATTGGTGACTGCATCAGTTAGTTTGGTCTGGAGCCCTCCTTCCTGAGCTGAAACAAAAGTGTGTGAGCCGGAGGCTAAAAAACTGTGAGCTGGCTCACACCAACTCCGCTTAGAGGGAACACTGACCCAGACACCAGATCACTTGATGCTCCCTCTCAGCTGTGGAGTCTCGTGAGCAAAAATTCTACTTTGTGAGCTACTGGCATTAAAGTTGTGAGCAGGCGATTTGGCTGCTGCATAAATTAGTTTGCTCTGGAGCCCATCCTTCCTGAGCTAGGACAAAAATCTGTGAGCCGGAGGCTAAAAAACTGTGAGCTGGCTCACACGAACTCAGCTTAGAGGGAGCACTGCTTGGAACACAGCCAATAATACACACTAACACAGGAAGCTACCTTGTTTGGTGTAGTGGTTAAGCGGGCGGAATCTAAGTCACAAGTTCTCTCAGAGCTGTCAGTCACGAGTTCTCTCAGAGCTGTCCTCTCAAGGGCAGTCCCTGAAAGAGCTCTCCCAGCCCCGCCGACCTCACAGGCGATGCTCCCTCTAAGCTGTGGAGTCTTGTGAGCAAAAAGAATACTGGCATTAAAGTTGTGAGCGAGCGATTTGGCTACTGCACACATTCGTTCGCTCTGGAGCCCTCCTTCCTGAGCTAAGACAAAAATGTGTGAGCCGGAGGCTAGAAAACTGTGAGCTGGCTCACACTCACTCAGCTTAGAGGGAACGCTGCTCACAGGGTGTCTGTTGTGGGGAGGGGAAAGGAAAGGGATCGTAAGGTGCTCTGAATCAAGGTCAGGATTGTCTCCTCAGACTGGCAGTGGCTCTCCAGGGTCTCAGGCCGAGGTCTTTCCCATCCCTTCCTGCCTGGTCCTTTTAAATGGAGATGCCGGGGACTGAACCTGGGACCCCCTGCATGCCAAGCCGGGGATCGGCCACTGAGCCACAGCCCCTCTCCATGGCTCTCCAGGGTCTCAGGCAGAGGTCTTTCCCATCCCCTCCTGCCTGGTCCTTTTAAATGGAGATGCCGGGGATTGAACTTGGGACCCCCTGCATGCCAAGCAGAGGCTCTGCCACTGAGCCACAGCCCCTCTCCATGGCTCTCCAGGGTCTCAGGCAGAGGTCTTTCCCATCCCCTCCTGCCTGGTCCTTTTAAATGGAGATGCCTGGGACTGAACCTGGGACCCCCTGCATGCCAAGCCGGGGATCGGCCACTGAGCCACCGCCTCTCCCCAATAACAGTGCGACCACGAGCAATGCATTGAGCAATGTTCACTCCCCGTCTGCGACTTGCACGTAAAATCTGACACCTCAACCACCCTCCCGGAAGGCGGTTCCTGAGCCAAGATGACACAGCTTGTCTTGTCGACTGTCAGTTGTAAGCCCACAGACCAATATTCATTTATTATACCCCGCCTTCCTCCGCAACAGGGACCCAGAGCGTCTTAGATTGTCCTCCTCTTATCCATTTTATCCTCACAACAACCCTGTGAGGTGGGTTAGACTAAGTATGTGTATCTGGCCCGAGTTTCCCCCGCGAACTTTCATGGCAGAGTAGGGGCTCAAACCTGGGTCTCCCAGGCTGACCCTCTGACCCAGACACCCCAGTTCCTTACCAGTTGCCCACTCTGAATTGTGCATGCGGGCAGTATTCCCTCTAAGCTGAGTTAGTGTGAGCTAGCTTGTAGGTTTTTAGCCTCCGGCTCACACATTTTTGGTCTTAGCTCAGGAAGGACGGCTCCGGAGCCCACTAATTTATGCAGCAGCCAAATTGCTCACTCACCACTTTAATGCCAGTCACTCACAAAGAAGACGTTTTGCTCACAGGACTCCGCAGCTTAGAGGGAGCATCGCATGCGGGCAGTTCCCAGTTCGGTCCCCAGCATTTCCAGTTAATGTCCGGGGAGGAGAATTTCCTCTGCCTGAGAACCGGGGGAGCCGCTAGCTGTCAGTAGACAAGGCTGAGCTTAGGTGAGCTTGCTCAGTTCCGCATGTCCTGACCCCCCCCCTTCCCATCTCTTCTCCTCCGCAGTGCATGGTCCGATTAAGGATCGGCATCGGCCGCCCGGCGGGGGAAGCTGCTGTGGATCGCTACGTCCTGGGCAGGTTCACCAGCGCCGAGCAAGAAATCCTCCCGCAAGTCTTGGAGCAGGCCGTCGAGATGCTCCTGGAACACATCCGGCAGAGGGGCAACGGCAAGGGGACCTCGGCAGCTTGCGAGGGACGAATCAGAGCCCCTCTGGGGACGGAGGGGGCGTGACAATTTTATAGTAGACATTAAAGTGTCGGCCACAAAAACAGGCAAAAAAGAAGCTGTGGCGAAACGGGGACCCGCCCTCAGCCCTAGGAGACTGAGGTGCCGTCCTGTGGCTCGCAAGCCCGTTTTGGCCTTCCCACCCTGCCCGGTGGGACTATTTCTCTTCGTTACTGCTGCCACCACTCACTGAATTACCGCCTTCCTTGAGGGACAGTGAGACCCCTCTGGCTAAATTCCCCACCTTGGGAAGTGGGTACCTTGATGTTTGGGCGCCCCCTGGAGAGTTGGCAACCCCTCAGATTTAGGCCCGTTTGTGTCCCCTGGCTTCCCTTTGCCCCTGGTAACGTGCAGAGCGGGGAGGACTATGTGGTTAAGGCACAGCAGGCTTTTTAAACTCAGAAAAGGAAGATTCATTTAACTATATACATATTGGGCGCAGAAAATAAACACGGGCACTTCAGCACAACTGGGGCACTGAAAATAAACTGGATAAAAACGCAGTTCCTCTGTCCCTACCCACACACCCCTCTCTCTACCTGTGTAGTGGATTGTGGCCTCAGGCCCGGATTTGCGTTTCCCCCTCCTGTTGTGGAGAGAAACTCCAGCCCTCCTCCTCCTCAGGACTGGCCACCAGCACTGCCTCCCTCCTGGCTCTCCACCATGGTCAATAGTGGCCTGGACTGCCCACGGAGTCTCTGGTGACAGGAGTCCCACCTGTGCTCTCACTGGATCCTGCCGTCCACACAGAAGACCAAGCTGAGACTGCCTCTTTTTCCCCTCAGGAGCCAAAACCCTTCTTTCTCCTTGGCCCCGCCCCTGGGGTGTGTCCCTCTTTTCCCGCTCTTTCCCCTCAGGGATGCTGGGAAGTGTAGGCAGGGAGGTATGGCCGCTCCATTGTTTTTATCCTACTTTTCTGCTCCTGCTGCTGCTACGTACAGCCACGATACACGTTAAATCAGGTCTCCCTTCCCAAAAACCTGATTATTGGTTTAAAAAACAGAGCATACTCTGTCTTCTCTCTTGGTCTCTTGTCTCCGAGCATGGGTTGCACGTAGAAGGCCTTAGACATTACCACTCTTTTCTAAGCAGTGGCCAAGGCCTCTGGGTACTGGGTTCAAGACCAGCTACAATCAGCCAGGTGTGAATGTACTGGGCTACCGGAATCCTTTATGCTAACTTTAATTTTGTCAGAGATGGGAGTCAGCAAGATCCAGGTGCAGGCAGAGTCAAGGGGCTGGCTCATCGAGTCTTTGCTGGGGTGGGTACCTAGGCAGAATAAGACCCCAGCCCCACACCGAAAGAGGGAACGGAGTGGGGAGAAGGCTAAGTAGAAATCCACCGCTGGCAACGCTTGCATTTTGAGTGTGCTTTGCTCCATCAGTCTCCATTTCCCCTGCATTTTTTAAAAAAACTTGGGCATTGTTATATGCAGGGGTCATTTTGTAGAAAAAGAGGTGCAGGAGCTCATTAGCATTAGCATAACTTATTTGCATGTGCCACATCCCCTGACATCACCGGAAGTATGTCAGAAGGCAACACCCACCACTCAGACTCCACTGGACTGTTTTGGATTGCTGGCTATTGGGGGGGGTGCAGATCTGCCCTCACAGAGGAGGGAGAGCTTGTACCTGAATAAAACTTGGTCTTAAAGGTGCCACTGGACTGTTTTGGACTGGGGGGTGGGGTGGAGGGGGCTCTGCAGCTTACCTGGCTGCTTCTTGCTCTGACTGAGGGCTGCCGGGAGCAGGGGGTGGGGCTTGTTGCATGTGCCCGCCCCCTGGGCTCTTTACTGCCGGAGCTCTGCTCCTGTGCGCTCCCCCAGGAAATGACCCCTGGTTATATGTAACATATAATAATCTATTCCTGCAATCTGCTAGTCCTTCTGAATTTCTGGTTTAAAAAATAAAGTCTCTAGTCCTTTTGATTGCCTTTTCACTCCAGGAGGAGACCCTTCTGGTCTCTGCGTGTGTAACTGGCAGGGCCAGTTTCCCAGCCAAGTGCTTGGAGTGGCTCAGTGAGGAGGGGGCGGCTGCGCTGCAGGGGCTCCATTTACTCCGAGCCGCCCGCAGTTTAGGAGGCGAAGGGCATCCCCTTCTGGGCCACCCGGCCACCCCCAGGGATAGATCTGGGCGGGCGCAGCAGGGGTCAGGCGCAGCGCTCCCTCTAAGCTGTGGAGTCTTGTGAGCAAAAATTCTACTTGGTGAGCTGCCGGCATTAAAGTTGTGAGCGAGCGATTTGGCCGCTGCATAAACCAGTTTGCTCTGGAGCCCTTCTTCCTGAGCTGAGACAGAAATGTGTGTGTCGGAGGCTAAAAAACTGTGAGCTGGCTCGCACTGACTCAGCTTAGAGGGAACACAGGTGTACCTTGCTTGGGGTGACAAAATACTTCAGACTGGCCCTGGTCTCAGCCACGGGTTTTCTGGCTTCCAAATTAAGGGGCATGCTCTGAACAGGTACTCATGCAGAGAAGCGCCAGGGGCAGGTTCTCCTGCTGAGGAGGGACAATTTCAAGGCTAGAAGAATGAATCGTGCCTTCGCTTTTTAATTCAGGAAACAAAGCAGCCCTCGGAAGATAAAGGAACACCCCTGTTCTCACCAGATTCCACCTCTGCCAGAGAGGCCTTTCCCACTCCAGGGCTCTGGTCCCCATATCCCCCAGAAAGCCGCTTGTCTCGGTGCTCAGGTGTCGACCGTAGGCCTGCGTCTGACATTTGCTGGCTTCCCATTTTTGACCTAAACAGCGCAGTGGCTTTGGAACCGTTTTATAGAGCAGTTTTTACACAGGCCATTCAGATCTCTTCGTTAAAAAAAAAAAATCCCTCAGGATCCAACCCCGCCTGACATTGTCTCTCCAAGAGGAGCAGATTCAGCTGCAGGCCGGAGTTCCTCAGCCCCTCCACCCTCTCCCAGATTGCCGGAAGGTTCTGAGGGTTGCGCCACAACAGCCGCAACCGTCTCTGGCTCACGATGTTCCTCCTTGACCACCACCTCTTCGTCTTCCAGTCCCTCGTCTGGCTTCAACGATACTAGAGGTTGCTGGCAAAAAAAAGGCAGGTGGTTAAACCGCGGCCACATAAGAACATAAGAGACGCCAATGTTGGATCAGGCCAAAGGCCCATCCAGTCCAACACTCTGTGTCACACAGTGGCCAGAAATACCAGGTGCCATCAGGAGGTCCACCAGTGGGGCCAGGACATTAGAAGCCCTCCCACTGTTGACCCCCCCAAGCACCAAGAAGACAGAGCATCCCTTGCCCCAGAGCCCCTATCTATACCTTGTGGCTAATAGCCACGGATGGACCTCTGCTCCATATGCTTATCTAATTCCCTTTTGAAGCCGTCCATGCTTGTAGCCGCCACCACTTCCTGTGGCAGTGAATTAGATAAGCATATGGAGCCACGACTGCCTCCATCCGAATGCAGGACCTGAAGCATCCCGAGGAGACGGACCGCATCCCGAGACAGGCCGTCTCTGCTGGCCCCCTTGTTTTCTTTGGGACGCTCTTTCAGAATGGAAGTCTGGCCCAACAACCAACACCCCGGTGCCAGCAGCCAAAAAGTGGAATGGAGCGTGCGTCAACCTCGCCTTGTTTCCCGGGCGTCTCTCGCAGCCAACACTCCCTGCTTCTCAGAGCTCTGCCAGGCCCCACAGACAACGCAGTGAAAGGTCTTTTATAATAACAGGGGCGGGGGTAGGGAGTCAACTGTCCCCTTTACGGTTTTAATTTAAAATTGCACGAGATTATAATTGAAAGCTGCATTGGGAGCCAATTCGACTGAGGTGTGGGAGAGCAGGTCTCCAACAGCCGCAGTGGGATGGAACATTTCTAGCAAACGTTTGGGTGATCCTGGCTTGACTGTTTCTCCAAGGAAGTTTGTACGAAATGGTTAGCGTTTGTACTTGGGGAACCCTAATTCTTCCCCCCCCTCGCCATACACACACCTCCTCGTCTATGTTGCCAGTCTTCCGAGAGCAGTGTCCATAAAATCCAAACAGCTCTTTTGAATTCCTCTCTGCCCCATTCTGTAAACGTCCAGGGCTGCCCATAAGCACAGGAGGTGGGCTAGTGTTGGGGGGGGGGGAGATGCCATGGCAGAGCCAGAAGGCCCAGTCTGAGCATCCTCCCCATCAGCCTGCTACCCGGAGGGGGGGGGTTCCTGCAGTCTGAGCATCAGAGAGCCCAGCGACATCAAAATCCAGACCAAGAGCTCAACAAAGAGCCAGAATAGGTGCTTATCTAATTCCCTTTTGAAGCCGTCCATGCTTGTAGCCGCCACGCACAGGAATAGAGTTCCGGCTGGCTCCCAAGTTGGCCACGCCCAGCAAGAACTCATTAGCATAATAGGCCACACCCAACAGCAGGAACTCATTAGGAGTGGCTACATTAGGGGTGTGTGGCCTAACATGCGAAGGAGTTCCTGCTACAAAGAGAGCCCTGGGTTTGGACAACAAACAAGGTAAACAGAATAAGAAGGGAAAGGTGGGTTTGGCTGGATAACCACACTTCTGGTAACATGGGGGTGTGGCCTAATGTGCCAATGAGCTGTGCTGTCGGGGGTGTGGCCTAATATGCTAATGAGTTCCTGCTGTTGGGTGTGGCCTAATATGCTAATGAGTTCCTGCTGGGCTTTTTCTACAAAAAGAGCCTTGGTTGGGACAATGCAACGACTTCACAATTGCTGATAAATGGCTCGATTCATAGTCCGTAATATTTTTGCAGCCCAAACACTGGTTGGTCCTTTATTGGAAAGTGGCAGACAGGAGGTCTCCACAATAAGAAATATACACAGGAGCACCCTGTGGATTATTTTAGTACACTGGCATAAATCTGCGCATGGTTCACACTCGAAGGACCATTCTGGAATGCTTCTCTCAGAAGCCCTCGAATCCCATAAAGATCTTGGCCTGCCGTTCCCCGGCACATACGGGTTATTCTAGCGTCCCATCTGCTCCTCCAGTATTATCTTTTTAAAGGAGCCGTATTTTGTTACGCACTGAGCCCCACGGGGCTCTAGAGCCACAGGTGGCAGCCCCCCTGCTGTGTGGGAGTCTTGAACTGGCAACCCGAGAGGGGGAAGGCAGACGGGAGGTTCCGCCCCCACC